TATTTGTTGCGTCGAGCTCTATTCAGATGTTGATCAAACTCGTGCAACATCACCCTCATTTTGAAAATCCATTTCAGCTTTCAATATCATAGTTATATATGTTGTATTGTGTATAACTTCTATTGTATTGTATTGTGTATAACGTTTGCAAGCACTGGAGCTCACATTTCAGATGGCTATGAGTACAGTGTATTTATTCCTGACTTTATCTCCAACATCTATGTTCTTATTTCATTTCTACCACCATTTGAATGTGCGTGACCATGAGGGTCGCTATAAAATTTTCAGTAGTTCGGAAGTTACAGCTTTGATTTAGAAAATATTTTGGGCAAAGTAGCATGGATGTTCATTCTTTTTAATAGATCATTCCTGTCCTATGAGAGTTTCTATTACGTTGAGCACACGCATTCTAAATTTCTATTCTCTTTTCATTCAGTGCACAGTAAATAAGCAAATTATTGAAAGTATTCTAACTTAAATAAATTCTTAAATTATTAGGCTGCAAACTACTCACGCATTATTTCCAATACTGGAAGAACTGAAAACATAGTCCAAGAAAGACACAAGTTGGATCAATACCTGTATTCTACTTCTGCTGAGGCGGCTGACAACGCCAACTGAAACTGTGTAAGTGCATCAATTGGTTCCATTAGAAGTCAAAGAAGAAAAGAATTTGGTTTTAGTTACTCCATTCACTGGTTAAATACAGCTTAATAATTTCTTCGTAATAAAAGTGGGTGGGGAACAGAGAACACATGAATAAGATGGTGACTAGGATAGCAATTTGAATTCATGGCAATAACTTCAGTCACCTAGTTTATGTTGTGACCATATGACCACGTGACCAATGGTCAGTGATTGGTGTCAATATGTTTGCTGCGTCATGAGGACAATGACGGCCGGTGGTTAATAAATCATGTGGAACGCTCAGAATAGCTTTGTTTCTTTGACTTTATCGACTTGTGCACATCACAGAAACTAATGATATTGAACAGGGATTCTGAGGGCAATACAGACTCCGCACAGAGCGATACCCTGTATAAATTCGCAAAATTCCCAAGATACAGTGAAATATGATCGGCTTTCAATATTCTTGCTCACCTTTAAAAGGTTTGTTCTGTTATCTCCTCTGAATGAATCTGTAGCCTTCGAAGCCCATTAACTACTTTGGTAACTTCTAATGGAACTTCTTTGGAACGTCTAATTTGACCCAAGAGCAATAAGTCTCCAAAATCAACAAAAGCGCATTATTCTTCATTCGCTTACTGAGTGGACAAGATGAGTTGACCAAGTTCTTCCCTTATTATACTTACATACAACTACACCTATTCTTTGCAGCGAACTGGTATACAGTTGGATATGACTTTGGTTTCTCCGTATCAATGACATTATGTGATTGGTCAACAAAAGACTTATAAGTTACAGTTCCAACCGAAATGATAGATTGGCGAATTGTCTTCTCACAACTGACTGAGATTTTTTGTTATGCACTGTAACAACAACCATTTTAAGTTCATGAAGAAGTTAGGCTTAATAATTCAGAATATCACTTTGACCCTAACAATGAACAGAACTAATCCACGAAGTCAATCGCGATTGCGTAAATGAATGCTGGTTTAAACCTGTGAATGATTTACTCCACAGCTTGGTCGACTCCAAATTCTCGTAATTGATGTTGCTACACTCTCACCCGTGTCCGATTTAAACAACACCTCAATCTCGACGAGGTTTGATAATCTATACGTGAGAGTACTCATTGCATTTGCCTACTCATAGTGATTAGATCGTGTAATCACCCATGCCTGTCTCAGGAGTACCACATCCACACCACCCGTACTACAGGTGACTTTTCGCTGAGCTGTGGGACTGATGTCCGTCCAGGCACATATAAAGGATTCACGGCCTCTGCGATAGAAGTTGAATTTTCTTGATCACTGCCTTCTAGGCCTTTGAATAAGCAAGTGTGTCTAACACTTATGATGACCAAAAGGCCTTGTCAATGACAAAGTAAACTGTTTAGGCCCCTAACTTCTGAGAATTTGGCAATAACTCTGGATGATTACACAAATGTTCTGTTTTATGGAGCATGAATTTACTCATTTGTAGGATATTGTCATCCAGCCTAGGATGGATTAGATATTGTGTTACACATGAGCCAGGCTGACACATATTGCTTTTTCAGAGTGCATAAATGATTGGACGATTGGCATGATTCTGTATGAAAATGTTCGGTCAAAATCATGCGGAATATATAGTCTACCTCTAAGACTATTTCAATCGAACCCATTTTTTCAATCTGTTCCGCATTTCAGATTGGTGCTTGGAGTGGTGCTGTAGTTGCCCTTACACCCAAAGGCGAGTTTGGAGCCGCCAGTGTTGGTTTCCCAAATTTCCAAATCTCTGTACGAACCCAATCTTCTGGTGAATGTGCCCAGATAATTCCGATCCCATCCATGAAAGCGAATTGAACGCGAAGCCGATTTGGACCGTTTTATGTTTTGGATTTGTTTTCTTTTTTTTAAATTCCATTCTTCATTCCTATTCAATAGTTCTTACATCAGCTTTAGTGCCTTCTCTAGTCCAGCACTCTTCCTATTGCCGTTTCATTCGCAATTTTCGAAGCTAACGTATCGTTAAATAGAGTTATTCGTCAGCTTCATTACTTCCTTATTATTTTGCCCAACTGGGAACTCGGGGAATTTGAGTAAATCATTATATGGTCAAAAAACCTTTGTCGGATTCCACTATTTAACAGTATTTAAGTAGTGCCGTGGGTGTTCTAAATTCATTTGAACAGACTTGTTTCGGGTGATTAAAAATCAAATTCCCATTTCACATTTTGCGCGAAACTGATGTAGAAATAACGTGAATTATGTTCGGGAAAATATCGCTTTATTCCCTTCTGTTTTTTAACATTTTACCGGACATGCAATTCACATTATACAACGCGTATTAAAATCCTCATTCGTGTTTTGGAGGCCCTTTAATAATTGTTGAACCGTGTGCAAAAACCGGATAATTCAATGCATCTTTATAGGCAGTTGAAGCAAAAGGTCGCTGCGGTCAATAACGTGTTGACCAGTTCAGTGGTTCATACTCCTCTCGAATTGACAAATACTTCTCATCACTGAAATTTTCTGTGAAACACGAGAGGTAACCTGACTCGAACAGGATTATCGGGGGACAGAACCGTATCTCACTGACTTCTTGGATTAGCTTTGTAGGTTTTACATGTATTTAAGTTTAGTCTCCTATTTAAATCGGTGAATGTTGTACTGATAGTTGAAAAAGACAGATGAGATGAACTGAGATTGGCCGGTGCTGGACGTGCATGAATTCAAGTCCGTGACCCTTGTAGCAGCAATTGGGGTATATGCTACTGTAGTGATTGGAGTACGCACCGATCACAAATTACGAATCACGTATCAGAAATCACGGACGTCACGTAAGAACTGAATCACACAGGCACTTGCACGACGGTATCCCACGTAACCGAGACGCAGGGAAAAGGCCACAGAACTACCAGTTCCTTTATTGGAAGAAATCATGGGGTTTAAATAATATGTACAAAAGAAGTTCATTGGTCTTCCAGGCATTTACCAATCGCGTGCTCGTATTCTAGGTGTCGTACAGATTCTGTCTGGGCCACACAGCTTCTAAGTGTTCGGTACAATCGGCCTACGGTTCGTAGTCTAGAGGCTGTAACGCGTGAGCGCTTTACTGGGATCACTTGGGAAGCCGGACTCTTCACAGTTGTCCGGAAACTGCAACGTGTCGCTTCGTGGTTTGCGCCATCCGGTAAACTAGGATCACCACCGCTACTCGATTGCATTTGAGGATATTTTGTTCGCTCAATTACTGCTTTGGCAGTCAGTGCTTGACGGAATGTCACCGGTGGTCGGATTATGATCGAATCTGAAGTTTTCAAAGACGCTTTGTACGTTATTTTAGACTTGTTCTATCGTGATTGAGCTAAGTAATAGAATGAGAAGGTTCACGACATATTCGCATTCACATTTTCCCTTTATTTATCGAATGTGTTTCTAGCCTTTCTATCATATGTTCGCCAAATGGCGTTCAAAAAAGAATTGTGGTATGAAAGTGATTGTTGTACAATAGATTAAATATCCCATAGAACACCATATTTGTGTGGTATCTCATTGCTTTCCACTCTTTTGCATTCTCCCAGGTCACCTTTATCTTACTGACCCGAAACACGAGGAAAACGTCAAATCGTACACTTGAGCTAGACTTCGCGGACCCCAAACGACTTTAACAACTAGCTGTTACCCTTTTCGATTACTCCTTGGTGAGACATAGGTCCTAAACTCTTCGTAATATCTGGTTCTTAGTAACGACAGTTAAGTATGAGAATAGAGAACGATTTTGTTTGTTTGTACGATGGATTTGTCGTGTAAATGTGGCGTGAGCTGAAAATCTGAGAAGCCCTGGACAGCTGTTTCAACTTGCACGGGTCTGATTAGGAGTGCAAATCTATCGACCCAACTGGGGATCGAAACCGGGATCTCGCAGGTAGAACGCAAGC